ACCAGGTCATTTGAACGGAGAAAAAGTTAAAAAAACGGCCCCCAACAAAATCCCAAGGAAAAAAAAAAAAAAAAAAAAGAAAATTATAGCAAAATCTAGACTTATTTCATGTGACTGAGGTCAAACTGTTGTGTTCACAGCCAAACAGACTTTAAAAAGAAACTGGAAGAAGACCAAGGCTACATCTTCCATTTGTTCAGAAGTACTGTCTTTTCCTGTAATGACTTTAATACTTGCCAAATATTTAAATATTTACTTTCAGCTTTTTTACATTGGACTTGATGGTGTCACTCAGACTCTATGAGAGAAATTAAATACTAGTAAAATGGATGTTGAGTCATTCTTTATTTTCCATGTTTTAAGGAGACTTTAAGAACTTGGTTAGATTATCTCACATGGAACCTGATGTAATGCACAGCAGTGTTTGAAAATCAAAGGTGCGAGGGTGGATGAAGGCCATCCACGAGTCTCCTGTGTGTAACAGGAGTTGGCCACTCGACCCTGCCCCGGACCTGACCTTGAAACAAATACATTCTCCTGTGCGTCTGTGTAGGTCTGTGTGGGAGCCCACATTCACAGCCATAATCGCTCGCTCACTCAGAGCTGGATCCTGAGTGTCATCATGTTGGCTGCTGTGTGTAGCTGCGGTATAATAGTCGATATTCACAGCAGCCTCTTCCTACTGTAGCTAATCTTGGCACATAACACACGGCAAAACTACAGTTTGTTGTTTCACTCTGGTTTCTGTGGAGACTGAGGAAACATTTTTGTAGCATGCAAATCAGTAAGTTTTGATGGTGAATTCTGGCTTGTACAGACAGACCAAGGCTACATCTTTCAAAATGCTTCACACGCCTCATGCAACCACACTTTTTAGTGAGACTTTATGTGGTAAACCAACACAGACATCCAAAATAAATCATACATTTTCAAATTTTTGTGCTAATTGGGTCTAAAGTCCAGTACATTAAAATTTGTTATTGCAATGTGAAAAGGCTCAGAAGGTATAAATGCCTTTACGATATAAATTATTTTACTGTGGCTGTTCCCCTCCATGTTAACAAGCTGTTTACTGTATCTTTATGCCTTTGTACAGATATGACAGAGATATCTGTTTGCTCATCTAACTCATGTGATGAATGCAAATATTTCAAACCTCTAAAAATGATCTCTTTATTGTCATGCTATGGATACCATCTGTAAGTGCTTGTTATGCTGTCTGCCAGTCTTTCAGGTGGTGATTGTGCTGCTGTACCTCAGTGTGTTATTGGGACTTTATGTTCTGCCACTTTATATCACCTCCCCCTGCATCATGGATCCCAGGACCCTTAAACCACGGCCAGAGGTGTTTGGCCACCAGGGAGTCCCCATGGTGAGTCCATTCAATTTTGGTTTACAGAATGTGTTAAAAGTAAAGCTAAACCCTTAAATATATCCTTTTTTGGTCTATATTATTGTTGTTTTTGGTTTAACTACATTAGCTTCTTAATTAAATAAAGTAGCCAACAAATGTATAGTAAGGGGGTTGCCCTTCCTGATATATTGAATAAATTGTTGTATGACTGCTAAAGAAATATCTAAGTGATTGTAAATTTCCTGTGAACAGATTTCATATCCAGTGGAAATGTTTTTAAGAGTATATTGAAGGCTCATACTATCACAAAAACCTCATTTTAATGGATAAATCATGGATTGATTTATTGCTGTTGAAGGATTTATGCCTCCAGCGTGCCAATGACTGCTCTGCAGCACAAAAACAAGTTGCTAAAAGTAGTTCCTCACATTAGGACACGCCCTGCTTTCTGTGGTATTTCTGCAAAAAAGAGATCGATCCTCAGTGGAATCTAAAATTAGGAGTTCCTCTGCAGGCCTGGGAGATTAAAAAAAAAGAAGGCTCACATCACAGGACTCTGTTTCCCAGAATGACTCATTATTGATTGCAGCGGCATTCCTGCCCCGTGCTTCACAGCCAGTAGCTGAGTATTCCCAGGGTCTCTAAGGGAGGGGGGGCAGTTCTAAGTGATGTTTTAGTATCGATCAGGACATTGACCTGAGTTAAAGAGCAATCCACAGCACACATTCCCATATGTTCACTGGAGGAAATGCATGGAACATCATGGGAACAATTGGATTTTCTATAGTTTTATTTCTTTGCTCCATGCCGTTAACTAAGACATGACCTACTTGCAATCACTTCATCTTTTATGCCAACTCTGTGTCCAGCTTGCTCCAGAGAACACGCTGTGGTCGTTTCAGCGAGCTCTGCAGATGAACGTCACTGGACTGGAGGCTGACGTAGCCATAAGGTACACACTCAGAATGATCGATACGCAGCAGTACAATGAAACCACACACATAAATATCTGCTGAGATTCCTGTTCCCCCTGTTTAGGCTCCATACATGGTAAATGGCCTGTACTTGTACACCGCTTTATGTAGTTGATAGGACTCCACAGCTCTTCACACTACATCCAGGCAGGCATTCACACATTCAGGGTGGTTAGCTACATAATAGCCACAGCTGGGGCACTTTTACAGAGAAAAGGTTGCCATGCACTTAGGCTTTGTCTGTATTTTGTAGGGTTTTTTTTTAGGTATTTCACAAAATCTCAACTTTTACTTGAGTATGTTGTGACTGAAGCCACAACATTTTACTTAGTTACGCTTATTCTTTCCTTACCCAATTCTATTTATTCCCATTCAATATTTGAAATTCAAATTCTGGAATCATGCTTTTGCCTTGGATAGGAAATAATCCAGACCAGGAAGTCCTGTTTGCAGTATTTAGTGCACCAGCCTGAGCTTGAATAACATGACCTCCCAGCTTATAACCTGCAGTTTCCACTTATTTTAAACATGTTTACTCATATTCACCGTCATGTAGAAACCTGTACACTGGAAACAGTTACATTTTTTTTCTTTATCTTTACAATTGTGCATTAACGGTTACTAAACTTTAATAAATTAAATCGTATATGAAAAATATAACGATTAAAAGGATGGACAAAAAGTAGCGTGTGTTGCATTTGGGAGTTTGTTAAAGGTTTGCACTTTGTATTCCTCGTCCGATCACCAGTGTGGACGGCGTACCTTTCCTAATGCATGACCTCACCCTGCGGAGAACCACAAACGTGGATGAGGTTTTTCCAGACAGAAAAACAAAAGCAGCTTCATGGTTCAACTGGACGGATCTGCAGCAGCTCAACGCAGGAGAGTGGTTCCTCAGGGTACTTCCTGGTTCCTAATATACACTAAGCATGATTTATTTCTAAATTAATTAGTGTCTTATTTGAGCTTATTTAGTTGTGTGGTAAAAGCCATTAACTGTCTCTCTTTAGCACAGTGTGTTCTCACTCACTGATCCATCATGTTCCCCTAAGGGTTTGTGGAAATTCAGATATCCAGTTAAGCATGAACGCAGAACTAATTTAGAAGAACCGCTGCCTTGACCTCAGTAGATTTGTCTTTCATTAAATTTATTGCCACTAAAGTTTATTTTAATTTTGGTGTGATAGCCAAAAGTTTATTTTTTCAAATTCATCACTGCTCTTCATTCAAGAAAATGTTGCTGTATTCTGTTTGGTCTTTTTGTTATCCGTTAAAAGTCTCATTCTCTGAACCAACCACAGAATTGACATATTATAGAAAATGCCCCTTCCTTTAAATTGCTCTTAAATCCATGTGCTTTTCCCATCTTCTTGTTTTAGAATGACCCCTTCTGGACCGCAAGCTCCATGTCCCAGAAGGAAAGGAATCTCACTTCCAAGCAGAGGGTGTGCAGCCTGGAGCAGCTTCTCAAGATGGCCTCCGATCACAACATCACAGTAGTTGTCAGATTGCGGAGGCCTCCTCGTGATCACCCCTTCAACTCCACATGGATCAACGAGACGCTGCAAGTAGTGCAGAATTCTGGACTTCTTCAGAGTCTGGTACGAGGGAAATGTCTGTAGCTTGGGAACAGTTTCCCTGATGCAACCCGTTTTGAAAATGCAGACTCTCGTGTTCCCCGTCGTTGTTCACGTTAGGTGATGTGGACTCAGGATGACGAGAGAGAGCAGGTGAAGCAGTGGGCACCTGGCTTCATCCAGACCTCGCTGGTGAAACACAGTCCAGAACATCTGCGCAGCTCTGGCATCAGAGGGCTGCTGCTCAGATACAACCAAGTGGACGCTAATGAAATCACGTAGGTCCACACACCCAGCCCTGATCGGTTATCACTTCCAGAGGAGATCTGACTGTTTGCCAGTGGAGCTTCTAAGAATCTTGTTGTTGCCTGCAGAAACTTCTCCAACAACAACATCAGCCTTACTCTCTACACTGTCAACGAGCCGTGGCTGTTCTCGATGCTGTGGTGCAGCGGCGTGTCGGCTGTCTCCTCAGAGGCCCCACATATCCTCAGAAAGGTGCCTTCTCCCATCTGGCTCATGGTAAGACATTTCCCTTAGATATTAATATGGCATTTCTTTCAGTCACCAATCTCTAGGCTGGAGCAGGACACACATGGTCATCCCAAAAAAATTACTATGAAATTTAAGAGTTTCATACAAACGACAAAAATTCAATTTTTACCAGGAAACTTTGGAAATTATTCTGACTAAAGATGATTCTTCACAGCTTGGGAAAAAAAAAAAAAGTTTAATATGAATGAAATGCATTTTATGAATAGCAGGTTAGTCTAACTGAAGTGCTGTCACATTGTGTCTGCAGATCCCATTACATTTAATCTTTACTCAATATTTATTTTCAAATGACACATAGTTGTTTATGCGTTTTTCTCGTAACATTTTTATGAGGCAAATGTAGCGCACATCATTCAGCTGGACATATTTGTTTCCTGTTCTGTGCCTGGTGTGCCGTCATTATCTGACTCGTTTAGAGTCCCAGAGAGGAGAATGCTCAGCTCCTGGGTTTCTGGATCATTCATCCACTGAAACTTCCCTCCATTGGTACACTGTGTCTCTTTGACCCGCTTTCCTCCTGCTCCATGAATCCATAATGTTTGACCAGTCTGTCCATCTGGTCCAACATATGGACCCCTTCCCTGACGTATTGTGGACATGACCCCTGGCTTCCTGCTGTGGAGCTCAGGGCGAGTTTGGTCTGCTCTGGCATCTGCAGGGCTGTCTGTCAGTTTGAACCAAGATTAGAGCTGTTGTAACTCCTAAACTTCCTCTTCCTGTGTTCAAATGAAGACATGTAGTGACTGGCACAAGAATTAATCCCCCCTGAACTTTTTTGAATTTTCTTTTATTACAGCTACAGTTTTAAATGCATTATTATTCTGTGGTCTTATGTGATGGACTAAAGCAAAGTAGTGCAGATTGTTACAAGTTGAGGTGAGAGGAAAAGAAAGTCTTTTTTTTTCTTTTTTTTTTTGGTTTTGTATTCAATCCTCTTTTCTCTAATATCTTTAAATATTATGGCAACTATTTACCGTTAGACATCACTGGAGACTGAGGTTTATTGGCATTGCAAAATTCAACCTTAGTTAAGGCACTACAAGACTAAAATTGAACTTTCTGGCTTACATGCAATGTATGTAGCAAAGAATCAAACACTGCCCTCTCTGATGTGAAAAATGGTGGCAGCGTCATTCTGTGTACATGCTTTTCTTAATCGGGGGCTGTGCAGAGTTGTAGGGAAGTTGGATGAAGCTAAATACAGGACAGTCCTGGTAGGACAATCTTTTTAAAGAGAAAGCAAAGGACTTGACAATGAGCTTATACATCCAGATCTACAATGAGCCGGTTTATTTCAAAGCATTTTCATTTTGGAATGATCCAGTCGTAGTCCGGACATAAATCCAAGGGACAATTTAAAGCAAGGTTTGAAAACTGACGTTGCCAGATGCTTTCTGTGCGCTCTAAACTAATTTGTGACACTTTTGACATTCTTATTTATTCTTTTCATTTAAAATCACCACCTCCTTCTTTTACTAAGTATGAAAAAGATCCAAGTATACTATAATGTGTCCAATTTGGGGTTTTGAAAATTTGTTTTGGAAAAATGGCTCCATCTGGTGGTGGACTCTATAAAATTAAAGTTTATGATAACTGCATGTTTGTGTTTTCAGAGCCCAAGAACTTACCAGCTGATATGGGTGTCTGCAGACCTCATTTCCTTTGCTGTAGTCATAGGAATATTCGTTTTGCAAAAGTAAGTACAAACATGTTATGATGTGATTGTTGTCGAAACAAGTGCACATACAAAGGTGAAGGTTTTTCCATTTTGATGTTAGGATTTTTTTCCACATTTACAGCTTAGTCTGGTCCAATGTGTCACATAGAGCGAATGGACAGCAGACTGTCTGACTTGATTAGTATTTCTTTTACATAATAGTTGCTAATATTGGTCTTTAGAGTAATGACTGGAGAACACTAACGCTAATTTACTTTGCCTGTCCTTTTGGTTTATTAGCTGCTGCGGCCGCCTTCTTTCCTCATGTTGATGGAAGCTCTAGATTAACCCTCAACACTTCTCCTGTGTTTGTGTTTCTCTGAAAACTGATTTTGTTTGTTTTGGTGATACCTGTTGTCACCCGGTTGGATGGAGAGCTTATTCACCCCACCCTCCCTCTCTGTCCTTGTAACCATCCGGTACAAGTGTGTTTTCTCCTTAGCTTCTGCCGGCATCTAAACTGACCTCTCTTTTCTCCCGCCTTCTTTTGTCCTTTTTTGTCTTTCTGCCTTGTTCTCTCTCTTTCTCTCCTCTGCCTGCCGTGCATGCTCTCCTCCTCTTCTGCTGCATTCTGGCATCTTCTCTCAGCTATCACATGATCAGGTAACCAGGTCACCTTCTCTGACCTGCAAGTCTTCTCCACTTTTATCCCGTTTCTGTTCTTGCACACCCACATTTATTTTTGTTTGATGCTTTTTTTTTTTTTTGACCTTTTGGCACTTTGTTTTTCTACATTGTTGCTCTCCTTGTTTATATAAAATCTTATTCAGAGTTTTCTCACAATCTCCAATTCCACCATCTTTCTGTATTTATTCTCATCTTCATCAAGTCTACTACATCTGAATCTTTGTTGTTGCTACCCGTTTTCTCAACCACTTGTTCCTAAAGGGAATGGAAAATCAATGTTCCCAAACCTCAAAATACTATTAGAAAGGAATATCTCACCAATATTAATGTGTTGGACAATATGATCAAGATTAGTTTTTACCTATAAAAGCTACAAAACAAATAAATTCCATATCTAACTGCCTCTGCTCATTATTCAGACTTTACTGTGGGTTATACTCTTTAAGTTAATGAAATTCGTCAGAACGGTTGTTTTCATTAATGTAAAGGTCATGTTGTCCCACATGGACTAATAATCCTTAATATAACTGGGAAAACCGTAAACCGCAGCTGCACAGACGGTCCGTTCATTAAAATGTTCAGTGCTGCTGAATAATGCAGCGTATTCTCAGCGGATGCGCGGCATTATTAATTGCTTCGCTTGCATAATGCCCTTTCCCTGATTGTTCTTTAATCAAGCATTAGTTCTGTAAATTAGGAACCATTGTGTGAAGGTTTTTGAGTCATGAAAAATCTCTTTGAAGAGCCTGAGAGCTTATCCGCTGAAAAGACGCAACCCAAAACGTTCTACAGAACGTATTTATTAGCATTAGCATGTATTAATTAGTTACCCTTTTAAAACAGGGGGTGTTGTATTAAAAGGGTATTTCTAGAGTATCTTCTAGATACTCTAGAAATATGGGTGTTTCGTCATAGAAATTACCCCTGTGAGAAATTTCTTGTGTTTTTATCCACCTTCATATCTCAGATCATCAAACTAATTTCGATATGAGATGAAGATGATACTTTAATCCACCATCATGTTTTAACAGACATGTCCTCAGACAGCAGAGGACTTTTTTTCCAGGAGCAAAGTCTCACAGCCAAACCTGAGTGAAAATTTAGAAATTATTTAAGAGATGAATTTGAATATTTACCCACTCCACCCCAAACCATTTCCCTCATGTTCATTTTGCAAGAAGAGGAAGCAAAGTACTTGGAGTTGAAACCAACCTTCTGTGTGATTTCTGACCAAACCTTGTGACCCGTGCAGGTATCGAATGAGCGGCATACGCAGCTACAATCCTGAACAGATCATGCTGAGCGCAGCGGTCAGGACGTCCAGTCGAGACATCAACGTCATGAAGGAGAAACTGATCTTCTCCGGTAGGATCCTGCTGTCCCCCCCACCCACCAAAAAAATAAATCCATTTAAATTCTTAACCTCACCAGTAACAAATCAGTTGGAACCCCTGTCGACCTGCATGTGCGTGTTTGTGATTGTTGTCGCTGCTCTCCTTCCTCTCTTCCATGTCAAAGCTCAGCCTCAGTAATGGCTCCCCCGTCAGCATCCTTTGTGTGACGTATCGCCTCCTGACCATCCTACCTCATCCATTCTCTTCGCAAGCAGTGACTGTCTCCCCTTTCCGCCAAACATTTCCTCATCACTCATTAAACCTCTCTGCCTACTTTGCCCCTTATTCCCCTCATCCATCATTCCATCTCTTCGCACTCATCTTCCCCCATAAACCTCCAACTGGGACATAGAGTAGGAGATCTTATAGGCCAATTTGTCTAGACAACCTCTAGCCCTGGGGAGCAAAAGTAAGTCCATGGAGCGATTCAATGGAAGTAGGAGTTAGGAAGTTGCAGGAGTTAATGAACGCTGACGTTTGTTTTTTGTTATCCTCTGTCGCCCTCTAGAGGTGAGGAACGGTGCCAGTGCTGAGGAGCTGTATGAAGAGCAATGCTTTGACTCCTACACCAATCAGAGTATCAGCCAGTGATTTTCTGCGCCGTCTGTCTGCTGCGGTGACGCAGGAAGCATCGTTCCTGATGACGAGAACTCCCAGCCTCCTGAGCTGCTGGAAACGCCCCGCTGCGCTCTGTACACTCTGTAAATACCGTTTCTGTTTCTCCTCACGGACTTTACGTTTATTGCACAAGACTACACGCACTTGATTTAAGCTGAATCTGATGATTCCAACTTCAATATCTAAATGTTCAGGGGCTCCCCATCAGTTTTTTTTTTTTTTTTTTTTTTTTTTTTAAAGCTATGTTTCCAAAGCAGTTAATTATTATATTAGGATCTGTAAATATTATGGCAGCATGATGCTCCTGCCTTCAGTCTCTGCTGTAGTTCATGAAATTGATATTTATATTTAAAGAGATAAAAGTGTTTACAGACATTTTTGCCTTCTCCTCCGTGTTCACACGGTGCATGTAAAGTATTTTGATACTCCCCGCCCGCCGTACTTCTGATCACTGGATCCAAGTGTTGGAAACTTCTGGACTTTGTGTGAGCAGTGCTCCCAGTAAAACCAGAAGAACTGGTGAAAAATGGTTTCTGGGGTTAAGATTTGCTTTTTCTTGGATAACTGTTTGTGTTTCCTTTTGTAATGTGTTCAATATAATGTATGGATTCTGACTGGGTATATTTTTTTTACCTTGTGTGCAGTGTTATGACGAATGTGTAATCATAGGGATAACTTAACAATGTGACACTTTAATCATTACAAGATGAACAGGCTGGCCTTTGATTTGCTGTCATTCTTTGGTATTTTCATGTCGGGGAAATGTATTGCATGTGACTTCTGGTGTAAATACTGTACTGGAAAATAAAGTGAAGCTGGTTGAACAGGCAGCACATACTGGGAAACCAGTCGCCTTTTGTCCATTGTACATTTGAGTTTGATTCTTGCGATGCAACAGAATAAAAACATTCATCCTGATTGTTCTACAGATAATCTCCAAATATTGCCAGTTCTATGAAATGTTCTAAGTAAAGAAAATCTCGAGTTAAATTAAGTTATATTATCGACCCTTGTTTTTTCTTTTTTGTCATATGGTTTGAGTGAGTGGTTCACATCTGCTCAGAGGCCTGATGAACTTATAGGCTGTATATATTCTTTAAAGCAAAATGTTGCACAATTTTGCATTTATTCTGAATCAAACCTCCAACCTTTCCACAAGGGGATACAAACAATTTTTGATGAGAAAAGAAGAATTTAGGAAGAAAATAAAAAGGGTAGAAAAAGCATAGTTGGATTGGAAATGAAAATATTTTTGATTGGACCAACATTTCAGTGCATCTTTACAGACCAGTAACACTGCATCACACTCCTAAGATTAAAGTTGGATAAATAAAATTTATCTTAACTTGATGTTCATCTTTGAGGCTGGAAGGAGACCAAAGGGCCATCAGTGTGTGATAAGGATTGCCTGTGTTACAATATGGTTGAGGTTTTTGAGAAAAGGGCCACTAGACTTGATGAGGAATGACATTTTAATGTGGAAAAGCAGTGATTCACAGCATTTTCCCTTTATCAAGTAACTTTGGTTTGATCCTGAAAACTTCCAGTACAAAAATAGATCTCAGGTCTTGTATATAAGGGCGTATGTAATCTTTACAGTTTCTACACAGAAGCTTATTCAACATGAATTCAGGTTATACTCTTTTTTTTTTTCTTTTTTCTTTTTACAAATTAAGTTTGGCAAAAGATGCAACACTGATGTTTTACAGAAGGAATGTTGGGTGCTTTATGAGGTCGTGGCTGAGACCTTCTACACAGGCAGAAAAGCTCAAATCTGGTTTGTAAAAAGATACATTAAACAGTTTAGACATAATTTCACATAAACGTCTGTTATAAACATTCTGCATTTAGCAAACGCATTTAACAGTATTATACAAACAAGGCACTGATGAACACTTTGGTCCCTCTGTTGGACTGCCAGAACTGAGCTTCAGCCGCCAAAGCAGACAGTCCAACACCAAGCTGATGTGTTTACAGTGTGTTATTGCACAAAAGAAGAGTTAGCCAACAGTTATGAGTCAAAGTGCATCGAGTGTGTCTTTTCTACTTTACTTAGCGGCAAATAAACCATGGCACTAAAAACGGAGAGCATTCCGGGACGCTCCCTCCTTTGTTACCTGAAAAGTCTGCACCTCATCGGAACACTTGAGTTATGAGGGAAGTAGGCCCCTCTGCAGAGAAACTTTAAATGAACTGAGCGTACTGCCATACTTCAGGTTCCAGTGATTTGCAGTAAACCGGCGGCATGAGAAGCGCGAACATGGAGCGAGGCTTTTCACACAGATTAGCAGCTTTCTGAAAAGGCACCGACACGCAGTGTATCAGCTTGCAGATGGAAGAGCAAAGGTCCGTTGAAAACACACACACACTCGGAGAAATGCAACTAGAATAAATAAATAAATAAATAGATGAAAAATGTTCCGGCTAGTCTTCAAAGTTTAAATAAACTGCTTCCTGAATGATCATATTACTTCCTGCTACAGAGCAGTTAACACATCTAAACAGGTTGTTGCTGCTGAGGCTGAGTGTGCAATAAAAAGCAAGCGAGTTTTTAAGTCACCTACACAGGAAAAAGTGTTTCAACACATTTTGTTTGTAACTGACACATTTCTCACTCGGGGAGGAAACAGAAAGTTCAAGAAGCCACACGTTCGGCTTGCAGACAGAAACACGATGCTCCCTGTATCGGCCGTTTCTCTCCAACCACCAGGAGCGTCGCGGTGGACAGGAACAGGAACCAGCAGCCTCCCTCCCTCCTGGTTCAGGATCAGCTGAAGTTCGTCTTGCGAAGGTGTCTGTTGGGGATTTCTATGGCGCTCACCTGCAGCGGCCAGGAGCCGCCCATGATGCCGGCCTGGATGGCCACGCCCGTGACCACGGCCAGGTCGGGGTCCACCGACGTGTTGGGATCCTTCCCAAAGTACTCGCTGATCAGCGTCCTGATGCGCGGTATCCTGGTGGACCCTCCCACCAGAACGATCTCGTCCACGTCCTCTTTCTGCAGGTGGCCCTCGGCCAGCACCGTCTTCACCGGGACCAGGATCTTCAGGAAGAGGTCCTGGTTGAGCTCCTCGAACAGCTCGCGACTGACCTCCACCTGGAAGTGAACCGGAGGAGGAGCGGGCCCCTCCGGGGACCCAGAGCCATCGTGCGCGTGAAGGTGGAGGGGAACGGAGATCAAGGCGCTGGGGTGGAGGGTGAGGTTGAGCTTGGCGGCTTCCACGGCCTGTCGTAGGCGGTGGAGGTCCTCCTTGAGGACGGGGGCGACGCCGAACTGCTGCCGAACTCGCTCACTGGTGTACTGGAACAACCTCTGGCTGAAGTCCTGACCTCCCAGCTTGTTATTACCTGCAAATAACATATTATTTAATAAAAAATTGGATATTTATTATTTCACGTTGATTCTACAAGGGAAACAAAGTGGTATTGCACTTTATTTCCACACTTTTCTGAAACTAAAACATTTATTTTTCATTTCCATAAACAAATAAATATAAATATGTATCCATCTTACAGATTTTACCAATTTAGAGTTTTACCTTGTGTGTCAGATAATTACTAAATGACAAAGGACAAAGATTACCTGAGTAAAAACAAAGATTGTACATTTTTTTCCCCCACTGTAAAATTCAAGCATTTTCCAAGGTAACTTTTCAAACTTTTCCAGAACCACAAATGTACCAGAGAAGTCGGTTTCAATTTACTAATATATTGAATTTACTAATAATTTATTACTGTTCTTCATAAGGCTTTGTCGTAATATCCTACACAGCAGGGACAAAGTAAACTAAAATACAACAAAATTTAATGCTTTGAAAATTTTGTCACACACCTGATTTAACAAAAAAAAAAAGCACTCAATTTTAATAACTAACATATAAAAAAATTAGTTGATTAATGGACTTATTCAGACAAATATGTTATTGAGCCATAAGGAATAACAGGTATTCAGCATATTATATAAAATGGTTTGTATAAAGGTAAATGGCCTCCATTTCTCCATTTGTGAATAACAGCTCTCTCGGTGGGTCGACTGGATTCCCCAAAAACAACAGAAATGGCTGCATAGTCAATGATTTTGATTCCCATCTGTTACTGGATTTCTTTCGATCAGACGACGCTTTATGAAATCTTTTAGCCCATTTCATGTTGTCAGCTCTATTACAATGACATGTTGATTCTACAGCACTGGCAATTAAAAGTCCTGGGTCAAACTTGTGAAACTTGTGAATTCAATGTGGATAACATAATTAAAATATGACTTAACAAAGAGGGTGATTTCTTTTCCAAACACGATCAGGTAGGTTTGGAGAGTTTTTCTCTTAATAAGTAAAATCTATCAATTGTGAAACATGTAGGTATAAAAAAATAATAATAATAAAAAATGCTACATCACAGATCATTTAGCATTCATGCAATGTTTTTTCGCAGCACTGCATGAATTTTACATGCTGTAAAGTCGATTAGAAAAATCTTCTTAATAGCTGTATCCAATTACCTGCCATTGCCCTGGTGAGAAACATGCCTCCCTGTTTGTTGAGCAGAGACACATCCAGAGTCCCTCCGCCCAGGTCCACCACCAGGACATTGAACACGTCCACTTTGTGCAGGCCGTAGGCCATGGCTGCAGCCGTCGGCTCGTTGATCACACGCAAGATCTCCAAACCTGTCAAACCACGATCAGACAGTCAGTGTTGCAATTTCAGGCCACGATAAGCCTGAAGATTACACAACCAGACACTTTAGGAACAGAGCAACCTGTTCCTAACATCAGGCGCCTCGTGTCGCTTTAAACCGTCCTTCTGATCACCTGACCTGCGAGGTTAGCGGCGCGGACCGTGTAGTTCCTCTGTCGCTCGTCGAACTCTGCGGGCACCGAGATGACGGCCTTCTGGATGGGCACGCCCAGCTGTCGCTCAGCCATCTTCTTTAACCTCATCAGCAGCCTGGAGCCGATGAACTCTGGGCTCACGGTGAAGGTGTGGTTGGTGGAGATCACAAACTCTGCGCTTCCATTGTTGTTTACCACCTGGAGAACAAAGCGCAGGACAGAGGCTTTTAGAAAGGAAGGAAAATGCAAAAGCAGAAGCTGTTGGGACTAAAGTTATCTGAAGGATGACAGGAGCAACATTGAGCTGTTTTAGTACAGCTTTGAACTGAATTTATTTGATAATTACAGTGCATTTCAAAAATATTCACAACCAATGAACTGTTTCAGATTTCCACAAGTCAAAGCTATAAACTTTAACTACTGAGGTTTTATGAGGTAAACCAACACAAAGCAGCACAGAATATAGAAGTTTGTAGTGTTTTTTCTAGACCTTCAAAAAATATATATAAATATATGTAGCTATAAAACAAAGCCTTCCCACATTATGATGCTGTCACTGTCGTTTCCAGAAGGATGCATCGGTTTTATCACACATAGCTTTTTGCATGTTGGCTAAAAACGTAAAGCTTTGCCTCACCTCAACAGAACATCTTCCACGTTTGCTTCAATCTCTACTGCTAAAGCTACAATTTAACAATTTTTAAACTTTATTATAAAATATTATAAACCAACATGCAATATTATATTTTAAAAGGACTAACAGCTGTTAGAAATGCAGCAAATTGCCAGCAAATCTTTGCCAGCAAATGCAGTAACCCAAGCTTCCCCCACGTACAATGAGCCCCAGCTTGACCCACCTGGAACGGGTACCTGGCGCTCTCCTGCTCCAGGACACCCGGCTCAAATATCTTCCCGATGAACCTCTTGGCATCGTATACGGTGTTCTGAGGGTTGCTGTCCGCCACATTCATGGCTTCGTAACCGGCTAGCACCGCAGTGCTGGTGAACGAAACCGCGCTAGGGATGCTCTTCCTCCCCTCCTCATCTTCGATCACCTCCACCTCCCCGCTGCCCGGGAGGAAGACTCCCACCGAGCAGAAGG